TATTATATTAGATAATATCATTTAAAGTATTAAAGGTTTAAATTATTATGTTACATTATTAAATAATCATTTTAATTTAGAAAGGTTTAAATTTTTAGGGTTAATTTTCAAAGGTTGAAATTTATTGGGTTTTCTATTTTGTGGTTAGGTAATCGTTTTAATTTAGGAAGGATCAAATTTTTGCGGTTAGTTTTCAAAGGTTTAAATTTGTTGGGTTCTTTAATTTGCGAGGATCTATTTTTAAACATGGTTTGACCTTTTCATTTTAATGATATATGTTTATTGAGCTCTCTTGGCAGTGTACAACGAAGAATGAAAAATTATGTATGTACCGCGGAACAGAACATCCGCGCAAGTGCATAAAAGAAAAGTAAGTTCAGGGGGGAATTAAGAGAGCTAGAGCGGTAAGTAAGTTCACGAAGCAGTGAAGCGGAACAATAAGCAACGCGCATGCGTTATAGCGAAACCAATAACAGAAGAGAACGAAATGTAATACAAAAGGGATACTATTTTATTTTACAACACTCACAAAATGGAATCTTTAGATCAAAGTTTGCGAGAGACAAATATTATATAAATAATTTCAGCTATGTTAAACCTAAGTGTATTATTTTAAGTGATAATGCTAAATATTATTACATTCCAATAAAAGAAACTCTAGTTAATCTTTTTAAAAATTTTAATTTCTCCAATCAGTATTTTAATTTCAAAGAGACCTCTTTAGATAACATATATTATAATATAACAGATGGAAATTCATTTAAAAGTAACATTTTTTTAAAACAAAGTCCCAGTGCTTTACAACTTATGTTATATCAAGATGCATACGAAATTTGTAATCCTTTAGGTACGTCCAGGATAAAACATAAAATTGTTGGGATTTACTTTACAGTTGCAAATATTCCTGCTTGGCAACGTGTTAAAATAAATCAAATTAATTTAGTTGCTTTAATGTATGAAAAAGATCTGAAAAGACTTGGAATGTCAGAGCTTTTCGATATTATTATACAAGACTTAAAAGATATCGAACAGATAAGTACAGAAATCAGTTATAAAAATGAAAAAATAATTCTTAAAGGAACATTGGTAGCTTTAAGGGGATCCTAAAGCGACGGCCAAATTTGATCGAGGTCGGCATAACAGATTTGTGACCGTTCACTTACGCCCTCTGCCTGTCGCGCGCCGCCGCGCCGCTGGCCGTGCGCCGCCGCTGACCGCATGTTGTTTACATTATATGCAATCATATGGTAGCTCCTACTCATTCCGTATTCAGTACGTGTTTTTATTGATAAAAACGCGTTTTTATCTCATTCTATAGTATGCGTGAAGTATACTATAGCATGTTAGAGCACTAACATCATTGTAAGCGCGTATTGAATACGGGCCTCCGAGTGACTTGGAGTATGCAACGCGAGCAAATCTCAAGCAGAGAAAATCTCTGCTTCGACTATTATGATCGTGTTGTCACACTGTATATACTGTCAGTAATAAAAATGTGTAATGTGATGTGACATACACATTTTTTGAATAAATACTGACAGATATATTGGTGCACATGAATGTAGAACATTTCCTTTCATCCAATGCCATTTTAGGTTAGGATATCTGTCAAAACATTATAGGTCTGTTTTCTGTGACTGAACTATATTTTGGAACTTGTGAGATAGTATATATATAGTTTCATATTTATTGAAAGCAAAATAGTTTCAGTGCAATCTAGTGCAAGAACAGAAAACAGACTAAATGTGTTATAATACAAACAAAATATATATATGAATGTATTGCACATACACATGTAGCTGCTTTACCTGTTTTTGCTATTTCTAATAAATTATAAGAAATATTCAGATAATGCTGATATGTGTGTATTTATATTCAATATTCTGCTTATGTATATTACAATATATACATTTGCACAATATAAACACAACAGAAATGTAAATACACAGACATAAAAGACTCGTACTGAACATTCATATACATATTGTCTACAAGCAATATTAGAATTTTATTTATATAATGGCCCGTATTCAGAACGCGCTAACAACGATGTTAGCGCGCTAACATGCTACAGTTTACGTCACGTATACTATAGAATTTCAGAGATAAAAGCGCGCTTTTGTCGATAAAAATGCGTTCTGAATACGGGCCTATATGTACAATGAATGTGTGTATGTTTATATTATACATGAATAAAATGTAATTCTAACAATAGATATGAAAAGACATTTGTGAATATAAATTTCAGAATTATACTTATTGTGCGGGCACGAAGTGAAGAATGCGCAACAACGTTGCTCGTGCGTTGGCTGCTAGTACTGCCCTTATATAAAGGGTCGGCGTCGAAATAAAAGAACAAATAATGCGACCAATTACACTCCCACTGAGTTACCAAAAGTATTTTATTGAATAGAACTGAACTTTGAACAATCTGGTGATGCTGTAACAAGCGTCTTAAGCACGCAATATACTTGAAGTCTGATAGAGACCGAGTGGAATTCACGAACAAGACACGAGTGCTTTGTCTATTCGAAAGCGGTAAATACGACGAGCTCTATGTCGCGAAAACTGTTGTCTTGCCGATGGTTGGAGACGGAATGAATAGCTGTGCCGGAACAGCTGATTTCGGCGAACGCTTGGTTTTTTTTTGTCGAGGACTAAACGGTCGCGGAGATTGACGACAATAATAACGCGCTTTGCGATCGCAACGCTTTCTCCGAGAATTCTAAGTGGATTTAAATCTAATCGCTCGGATTCCTGAACATACCGCCCGCCTCGAATGTTTGCATTCGAATTAAGATTACACTCTTGGTACAATCTGCGCTTAGAAACTAGATTGATTACTTAAAGCTAACCAGAATGGAACTGAATAATATGTACAACATGAGATCTGTGAAATACAACGCTGAAAACATGATTCATATATTGATACAATATTAATCTTTGCTACCGCCCGCCGTGGCGGAATGCACTTCGCTTTCTTGATTAATATCGACGGGGAGGAAACAGATTTGAGTTAATGGTCGTTTGTAAACCGCTCGGCTAAGTACATAGTTTTTGGTAAGCCGCGTCGCGAGATGAATCGATGATATGCTGCGCGAAAAGTGGCAGCCGAATAGTCACTAACTAATTCTAAATGGATAGCTTTGGTGGTAAGGCATATAAAGAGCGCAATATATACCTTGTGCGATTTATGTCCGCGACCAGGCGCACTTCGTAAGGCGATCGGACCTGCATAGTCGACGCCGCTATGAATAAATGCGCGACTAACGCGATTAACACGCGCTTCCGGTAGGTCTCCCATGAGTTCCTGTAGGATCTTGGCGTGCGCATCTAACGCATCGATATAGTACCGCGCGAACGGTTGTTCGTGCGCGAACAATCCAAAATTCCTCGCGCAGGGACGTGATTGTGAGTTGAGAGCCCCCGTGCATTGTGCGCACATGATGATGTTGGATTATGAGTGACAAAATTGGATGGGAGCGCAGAATGATGGGATATTTTTTCACATCTGCAAACGGAGAATGACGAAGTCGACCGCCAGCGCGAAGTACGCCGGTGGGGTCAATATATGGATTGAGACCTGACAGCGAGCTTGTTTTTGATAATGGTCGCTGAGCAGTTAATCTTGCTATTTCGTCCGAGAATAATTCAGCTTGCAGTGTCTTTACCCAATAATGTTTCGCGGCTTGGATTTCTTCTGGACTTATGACAGAAGATCTTTGATCGTGCGGCTTGCTATCCGTCGACGACCGGTCAAGCTTTCGCACGATTTGCACGAAACGGAGAATATACGCGGTAACACGGACGAGAGTAGACCACGAGGAGAATCGAGTCGCGAGGTCCCACTTTTCGGAGATTGTCGTGGTACATACTGATTTGTGTGGGCGCTCCTCGGGGACTGAATCTACTGGGATTAACGATAACGGCGCGTGTGGCCAGCAACTCTCTGGTTGCGACAACCACGAAGGGCCTATCCACCATAGTGGATGCAAGGCTAGTTCATCGAGAGCCATGCCGCGGGACGCGCAATCGGCCGGGTTTGCTTCCGACGGCACGTAACGCCAGGTCGCGGTTGGCACCATGGATTGAATCGCGGAGACGCGATTCGCGACAAAAGTTTTCCAACGGGTAGAAGGTTGACACAGCTAAGCGAGTGTGATTGTTGAATCTGTCCAGCAAAAACATTTGCTCGCCGAGAGATCAAGGGTCGATTGTACTACGTGTATAAGTCGAGCCAACAATAACGCGGCCGATAATTCAAGACGCGGAATGCTTAATGTTTTGAGAGGAGTAACCTTGGCCTTCGCCATCAGAAGCATGACGGTAACGGAACCGTCGTTTGAAACAAGACGGAGATACACGGTAGCGGCATACGCCTTTGTTGAGGCATCCGAAAATCCGTGAAGCACTCGTGATACCGTGGCAGCGCTGTTTGCTGTCCAACGGGGAATTCGAAGATGGTCGAGATTTTGGAGCCTCTCATGATAATTTTGCCACTGTGCAAAATAATCATCCGGAATCTCCTCATCCCATTGGCGTTTAAGTAACCACAATTGTCGCATAAAAATTTTTGCTGTTATGACGATGGGTGCCGCCCAGCCTAATGGATCGAATAATTTCGAGATCGTTGACAAGATAGCACGTTTGGTTTTCGACAACTCTTGATCAAGATTTACTTGGAAATAGAAGACATCTGACATCGGGTTCCAGGCAAGGCCGAGAACTTTAAGTTGCTCGTCGCCGGTGAGCATCTGAGTGTTAACTAGACCGTGATCTGAAGGATCGAGGTCGGTTAAGAGGTCGTCGCAATTGCTTGCCCATTTTCTCAACCGAAAGCCGCCCTTAGACAATAAAGCGATTAATTGATTACGAGTCTCCCGCGCAAGAGTTTTATCGTCAGCTCCGAAAATGCAATCGTCTACATAAATTTGTGAATTTAATATCGGCACTGCGAGTGGGAAATGTGATCCCTCATCCTCAGTGAGCTGCTTAAGTACGCGAAGGGCGAGGTAGGGTGCTGCGGCGGTTCCGTAAGTAACAGTCATTAAACGATATTCGTCGACAGGTACATCCGGTGAAGCGCGCCATAGAATGCGTTGAAAATCTGTATCGCGGGGATCGACCAAGATTTGTCGATACATTTTCTCAATATCGGCTATATAAACATATCGGTGTTGGCGCCATTGTAATAAGACAGTTGTGATATCGATTTGTAATTTAGGACCAACAAGTAAAAGGTCGTTTAACGACGTGCCATTCGAAGATGGGCTTGATGCGTTGAATACGACGCGTAAACGTGTTGTCGCGCTTGACGTTCGTATTACTGCGTGATGCGGAATATAGTAGCTTTGACCAGTGAGACTGGGCCTCGCAGGGTTCTGGATTTGGTTCATATGACCAAGGGTACGATACTCGTCGAGGAAATTACTATACTCGGAAGCTGAAGTCAGCTGACGAAGGAAACGCCTTTCAAGACGTTGGAGGCACGCGAACGCACCGGCACGGGATTCACCTAGCGAAACTGAATTGTTGGTTTTAAACGGAAGTCGAACAATATAACGACCATCATCGGTACGGGAATGAGTCGCGACAAAGTGCTCCTCACAACGGATTTCATCTAGAGTCAGATGAGGGCTCTGAGGAAGTTCTTTTACTTCCCAGAATCGCCGAAGCACGGAATCGAGATCCTCAATGTTGCTATGATGCACGGGTAAGGCAGGTGAATGACGGTTCAAGGAAGGAGAGATGGGACCAAACAGGATCCATCCCAGCGCGGTGTTTTGAGCTACGGGCTCATTGGCTGAGCCTTTACGAATGCCATCGAGGATGAGCATACCATAAAGGTCAATGCCGATAATGATATCAATTGGATCGCGACTCATGGGTTCATTATCAGCCAAGGTTAAATCGGAAATATAACGCCATTGATCTACGGGTAGGTTTTGGTTCGGTAAGTACTTGGTTAACGATTTAAGAATTAGCGCGTTCGTCGAGTAGGCAGGTCCGTCGCTAAACGTCGAAGAAACGGTAATGTTCGTCGCAGAATGCACGGGAAATTGTATCTCGCCAACGCCGGTAACGCAAACTGCGTGTTTAAATTTTGGTAAATGGAGGCATTGGACGATTGATTCAGTGATTAGAGTAACGACGGATCCAGGATCTATCAGAGCGCGATGGTTACGGTGCGCCCATGCGGCGAATGTAATCTCAGGCGAGCTGTTGCAAGCAGACCGATCGAATTTGGTGACACGGTCTTGGAAACGAAATGCGTCGCGACTTCGCTTGTTGTCGCAGGCGCCTCTGATTGCTCAGAAGTAGATGGATTGGCAGTAACATTATAATGTAATAACGAATGATGTTGAGCGTTACAATATTTGCACACGTGACTATTCGTACAGTTTTTGACATGATGTTTCCGACTGAAGCAATTAAGGCAACGGTTATTCTGACGAATGTATTCGGAACGTTGGATCGGAGTTTTATTTAAGAAAGTTTCACATTGGTATAACAGATGAGTGCCTTGTTTGCAAACAGGACACTTGAAACTGACGGTTGACGCAGCATGGGAAGCGACCGTGTTATTCTTCGCCGACTTTGTCGTGTCCGTTGATTTTTCTTTTGGTTTAATCGGAATTATTGTTCCGAACGCTTGAATTCGTTCGTTTAAAAATTGATTAATTTCCGCGAATGTTGGATACGGCTCAGAAGTATCACGCCGGAGTTCCCATGCTTCTCGCGAGATTTTATCGAGCTTTTGGGAGATCAGAAAGACTAACATATCGCTCAAATGTTCGACGGGGCGTCCAAGATTTCTTAATCCTTGGATCGCTGCGTTGGATATATCGCTGAGCGCGCAAAGGTCTTTGGAAGTGTTCGTCGAAACGGTCGGTAAATTTAATAATGACTGAAAATGATAATTGATTAATCGTCGTTTATTATCGTATCGTGCGACGAGAATATCCCACGCGACTGCAAAATTTGCGTCCGTTATCGCGAGATGGCTGAGCGCGTTAATTGCTTCCCCTTTTACACAAGAAGATAAATAATGCATGCGATTTACACTAGATAATGATTGGTCGTTGCGAATTAACGAGGTGAATCGATCGCGGAAGTTCTCCCATTTGTCGATACTCCCGTCGAAAGTCGGTAAATGCAGCTTCGGTAAATGCGTTGTCGGACGATAAGAATGTGAAAGACAGCTTACGTCACCAATGGCTGATTGAAGGAGTGGAGTCTCGAATCCGGATAATATCTCCGCCATGTAGTCTGAGGTCTCCTCGTAGACGTTGGCGCAGACAGAGAATTGGTCGTGCTTGAAATAAGCATGCTCCGCTTGATCCTGGGCTGTAGCCAGAAACTCAATTTTTGTGTGAAGATCCTGGCATTTGGTGAAGAGCTCCTTTAAATGATCCATTCGTTTGATAGTCACTGCACGGGTCATCTTGGCTTGTCCAAGCTTCTTGAAATTCGGCAGAACTTTCGATATGTAAAGTATCGTCTGTTTTTGAGCGATCAAAAGTTCCTCGAGAGTTGCCATAACGTTCAAAATTCGGTATCACTCGTATAAGATGTAGTCAGACACTTGGAAGGTCACCACGTTGAAATCGACACCGATCCGGCTCGAAGGACCAAAATGTGCGGGCACGAGTGAAGAATGCGCAACAACGTTGCTCGTGCGTTGGCTGCTAGTACAGCCCTTATATAAAGGGTCGGCGTCGAAATAAAAGAACAAATAATGCGACCAATTACACTCCCACTGAGTTATCAAAAGTATTTTATTGAATAGAACTGAACTTTGAACAATCTGGTGATGCTGTAACAAGCGTCTTAAGCACGCAATATACTTGAAGTCTGATAGCGACCGAGCGGAATTCACGAACAAGACACGAGTGCTTTGTCTATTCGAAAGCGGTAAATACGACGAGCTCTATGTCGCGAAAACTGTTGTCTTGCCGATGGTTGGAGACGGAATGAATAGCTGTGCCGGAACAGCTGATTTCGGCGAACGCTTGGTTTTTTTTTGTCGAGGACTAAACGGTCGCGGAGATTGACGACAATAATAACGCGCGCTTTGCGATCGCAACGCTTTCTCCGAGAATTCTAAGTGGATTTAAATCTAATCGCTCGGATTCCTGAATACTTATGTTATTTAATGTATGCATACACATGTACATACACATTATTATACATAAAATATTTGTGTATTGCACACAGACATGTATTGGTGATACATGCAATGCTATAACTATATTCAATTATATTCTAAGTATATTGTGTGTATGTACATACATATATAATTATAACATTGCATGTACCAATGCATGTATATCTGCAATATTAAAATATTTTATGTATATCATTGTGTATAATACACACATATGTATGCAAACATAAAACATATAAAGGGTAATATTGACTAATATGCACGTTTACATGCAATATTGGAATTAAATTTTATGTATATATCTGGAGACACGGTAGTGTCTCGGCGCTAAGCCAAGCGCGCGACACTGCCGTACCTCCTTTACGCGACACGGAGAATTTTCGGGGTCGAGATGATCAGATCTCAGTAACGGCTGAACCGATCAAGTTCTACATACGCTCAATCGACAGGAAAAACTTAAATTGTATCATAAAAGTGCTTTCATTTTTTTTCTACGTGCCCTACGAGCGGAGATATCGCGACGCAAAGTCCGGATCTGTGAAATTTCACGTTTTATTTTTAAGATACGTCGTCATCAACGTCGCCGACCAGAGAAATGTATTTCTCGTTTTTTCGATAATAGAGGGCCTTTGACTTTATGTGTTATCTCACTCTATCTATCATCTCACTCTATCTATCTATATCTAACCAGCAGACCAGTGTTGCATGGTGTATCACATATGACGCGCGCGCGATTTTAACCTTACAATTAAAAATAAAATATTATTCAATATAATATAAAATATTTATTAATAATATAAATATGTTATTATATATATAAATATTAAAATTGAAATATTGAAATATGTTCGTCGTCGAGGAAATATAAGTGTCTACGTGATTGATTTCGAGGAAGTAAGTGTCTAGGTGTTCGCCGTCGAGGAAGTGGGTGTCTACGTGTTTGCCTTCGAGGAAGTGAGTGTCTAGGTGTTCGCCGTCGACGAAATAAGTATCTAGGTGTTCGCCGTAGAGGAAGTAGGTGTCTACGTGTTCGCCTTCGAGGAAGTGAGTGTCTAGGTGTTCGTCGTCGAGGAAATAGGTGTCTAGGTGTTTGTTCGATTGTAAGAAACGTCGTCGTCGTCGTCGTCGTCGTCGTCGTCGTCAATCGTCATCATTGTTGCCAGTTACGAAGTGAGGAAATACATTCCGGAATTTTTAGCGCAAGAGATAAATGTGGTCGCGAGACGGGTATCTATAAATCACATCGATAGAGAGCATAGACGAACACGTAAGTGAAGTTAGAATAAATATCGACCGCTGCGATCTGTACGATCGTTAAAGTCAGATAAATAACAAAGGATTGAGGTTAGGAAATCTATCACATCGATGGCATAGAATAGACGAACACGTAAGTGAGGTTAGATAATTTCTGCTTTATTATACAAATTCTCTGCTGTAATTCCGTTGTAAGAATACAAATTAATTTCTATATAATTACTTTCTTTTTACAGTATTTGGTTAGGTTACTTATTTATGGAGACACTACCGTGTCTCCAGATCTGTTATTTATTTGTTTGGTAGATACCTTAATTTGTATTCTCTATTCCTTATATAATTATAAGAATTGATTCTTTGTGCTTGTTGATAGGAAAAGTCTGAAAAGAAAAAAGGTAT